TATATATTTATATCTCTATCTTCAGAGAAATTATAATTAAAATTAATAGCAATCATGATAACGTGTCAAATATATATGTCGTGTGGGAGGACAGGGGAGGGGAGGAGAATGGGTGGACGGGAGGGACAGGGAAGAAGAAGGTACTAAGAGATAAAAAACGCAAATTCTAGCTTTGGCTAAAAGACTGACATTTCGCGCTTCAGGATCGCGACATCGGAGCTCGCTCTTTCTCTTTCTCGCGCGCGATTCGCTGTCATATCCGCTGTCGCGTTCTCCAATTTCGAAATATCGGACTAAGTGAAGAGAGAATTGGTACAAAGTCTTGAGAGATAAATGAGCTCGAGAAAACGCGTGTGTGTATGTGTGTATGATGTGTGTGTGTGTGTGTGTGTGTGTGTGTACGTGTGTGTGTGTCGCCTTCGCGAATGTGTGCGCGAGTCCGTGTATACGTGCGTATGTATATACTTTTATGTATGTGTGTCGACATGTGTACGTGTATATGTCTGTATACAATGATCGCGTTCATCGGTGAAAGAATGTAACTTTACATAGAATCAAGGTCGTTCGAAGTATCATCGGCTGATTCGCTCTTCAGCCTCTTTCCCGTGTCTCAGGTATAAAACTAAAGGGGGCGGCCGGCGGAGCCTTCTTGTAAAACTATATTCATATATTTTGTTCTCTCTTTCTCTATCTCTCTTTTTCTCTATTGCGCTCAGATGTGTGCACGTGTTTGTTAAAAATGTTCTTTTTTTTTTTTACATTGCAGGCAGGTCGACAGGTTTGACTGTTCGTGCGTGTTATACATGAGACACTCCATAATCGGGCGTGTTATTTAACGCGAAGTACGCGAATGCTTTGATGTGACGTCGTTATCACCGATGATGATGAAGATGAAGATGATGATGATGATGACGATGACGATGACGATTACAATGACGATGATGACGATGACGGTGGTGGTTAATGCGTACGTGGGGTGTCGTCGATGAATTTCTCTTGCATTAATTTAATGATCATCCGATAAACGTCGATGTCGCGGTGGTCCGTTTTTGGAATAGCTATAATAATTATTATAAATATATATATTTATATGTATATATTTATATATGTATATAATAGGTCCATGCGTTTTCTTCTCCTTTATGCGCGTGTAATGCAACGTGTATGACAGTGAAGAGCGTGTATACTAGGAATGTACATAGTGTACGTAGAGATATTTTTTAATTAGGTTGTGTATAAAACGATGATACATACTATTTACTCGTTACTCGTTTATATCAAACGACACACAGTTATGATATCGATTTTTTTTTTTTTTTTTTTTAGTCTCATGGTACGACGTTCCAGGGCACGCGGCGCGTCGTTCGCCAATAGGCTAATAGTCTTGTCCTGTCTTCTCGTACAATGTGATCGCGCGGTCACGCATCCACGCTTGACTCGCACTCTCTCTTTCGCCCCTTTCACGGAAAAAAAAAAACGATCGCGCGGTTATGATACAAAGAATCTCCTTCAAATGGATGGTCATCGGTTTTCAAGCGCACAGTTTGTCATGTAACGCGTGCTTCTTACCAATGATATACCTCAAACACGAGTCGACAAACTTATATCCCAATTAAAAAAACATTGGTGTCGAAAGAAAACGAAATTTAGAAACTAAATGTTTCAGATAAATGTATAGTATATAATAAATTTCAAATATAAATAGAAAAACAGAAAATGTGTGTGTGTGTGTGTGTGTGTATATATATATATATTCCTATTTCATGTATATAAAATGTATATTTGTATAATATTTGAAAATACTAAATTTTTCTTTTTTTTTTTATTATAATAGATCATACAAGTATATACTATATGTTTATATTTTAAAATAAGATCGAGCGAGATGCTGTATTCGTAGAGCAAATCATATGAAGTGACCGATGTGATAATTGACTTGTAAAATTTGAGAATATATTTAAGAAAGATTGTTTATACAAAAAGTATTTGACACATCATTAAATGATGGGAATGACTTCTTTATAAAGATGCAGAAAAGGTATGAAGATCAATTCCGCTTCTTTAAATATTCTTTCACATCTTTTCAAATTTTACGAATTTTATGAACAATATCAATCACTTCATACACACCATTTTCTACAAATTTGATGGAAATTTTCATAAATTTTATAACATAAACTTAAAAAGCTCTATACTAACAGCATAATAACAATATTACACATATATCAATAGTAGTAGTAAAAACAAAATTAAAATAAAATTAAAATGATATTTCTCACTTGATATTTTTCATTTGTTCCATTGCTCGATGCTTAAAAACATGACCATCCATTCGGATATCAATATACATATACATATATATATATATATATATATATATGCATAAGTATATATGTATATCGATCATTATTATTATTAAATATTAATACTTCTAGTCGTATACTCTTGCTAGAGTAAAAGTGGTCTCGCGCGTCCCAGATATAAACATACCCGAACGCTATAGGCAAATACAGTGTGTGTATTAGCGCATGTATTTTTTTGCTTCCATGATATGCGATAGATACTAACCTAACGAAACTTGTCCTTACATTTCTCATTTGGTATGTCTTAGTCTTATTTTATCTTTTTTTTTTTTTAAAAAAAAAGGAAAAGTAAATAGTAGAGAAAAAAAGGGAAAAGTTACTCCTTCACTTAATGTAAGATTTCGATGAAAAAAAATACGATGATTCTAACGAAAGCATTAAATTAAATGGTGAAGATGAACAGATCTTTTTCTTTTTTTTCCTCTCTTACCATTTAAGAGTTTACAAATAAAATTATCGTAGACGTGCAACATTATTGCAATATAAAATTATACACTTATATGTGATAAAAATAATCGATTCGGAGCACTCGTAAAATAATCGAAACATTTCGCTCTCCCGATATCCGAAAACGATATTCCGTGCTAAATATACAAAATAGACTAAAGAGAGTACATAATTCGTCAGATAAGTCTTCGGCGCGTCCGCCGGAAATACTTTCTCTCGCAGACTCCACAACTATGTGTTTACGTGTACCTGTGTGTATCTCATATCTGAGTGCGCCTCACACTTAATCGAGAGAGTCTCGATACGCTTACATACTCGTTACGCTTTCTCTTTTTTTTCTTATTTTTGTGATTTTCTTTTTTTCGTTTACTTTAGTAGTCAGTCGACTTCGGGGTCCGTTTAGAAAGAGAGAGGTACATACATGCCCGCATTCGCGTCAAGAGCAAAGAATGCGCTTCTTGATTATTCGTTTCTTTAGTAAATATCGTACATATTTATCGCTATATTTACACACTTCACACGATGCTCTTAGCCACATCTTTGCTTCCTCTACTCATCACATTGAAATCTCCGACCGCGAAAGGAACGCCATTCTTCTCTTTCATGTACGTCACGTACTTTGTACGGGACTATTACACTCATTCGAATTACTTTACAAGTACCCTCCGCGATAACGAACCACCTTTCTTCAATGCAACTAAGTCTTATATCATCGAAAAATATCATCGGAGATACCTCTATTATACTACTAATTCTTATTTAGTTTT